TCAAGACTCCTTTGAACCTTATTGCGAGACCCTTTCCAGCCACCCCTCCCCGTGCCCACTTCTGGAAGTCTCTCCTTCCCAGCCCCCAAAGTCTGAAACAGAACCCCTCAATCTATATGTTCTCTTACAGACCTGCCCAAATTTTGGAAGAAAGCTTTCCTGCCCTGCCCTGCCCTTAAGAAAAACCCCAACACTGTCAATGCTTATTTGAAGTGCATGATCTCCTACCTCTTGCAAAAAGAGGGGGGAGGGATGGAAATTTGGGATCTATTCCCAATCCTTCTCCTGCAAATCATGCTAGCTTCTCCCTGTGCACAGGCATCTATAGAAATAATCCTTGGGGTGGTGGGAGGGAAAGGAAAACACTGAAAGTGCAGACCTGGTTAGTTTCTCACCCCAAAAATAATAATAGTGCCTATCTCAGTTTCTACAATGCTAGGAACTGGCCTCTTTTTACAAAAATAAAAGCTGCGAATCCGGGTATTATGGCTGGCCAGGCAGAGGAGGAGTATTGCTCCCCTTGTAGGCATTAATGTCCCTGTAGAGCAGTGCTTCCCAAACTTTTTCATAAAGCCACTTCCAACCTCGGGAGGAGGTGGTGTTGCAGGCTACACACCCCCAACACGCGCACGGGGGCTGGGTCTCAGCCCCTGTGCAATTAGGTGAATCCTCGGCTGCGTCATCCCCTGGCCAGCCAATCGGCTGGCCTAGGAGGTGTGGGCTTCCCCATTTAAGGAAGGCGTGGCCAAGACTCTCCCTCTTTGGCCGCTCAGCTACTCGGTTTCCCACCCTCCCTTTAAGGTTCCCCTTCTGACCTTGCTATGGACCTCGGTTGGTCGCCGTTAAGGGGCCTGGTAGGAATTTTTTCCACTTGGCAAATTGGCACCAGCCATTTGGTTTTTCACCTACCTCGTAGCAAATCGTCATAACTTCCTTGGTCTTGGAGGTTAGGCATTGGTAGAGGTATTGTTATGCAGATTAATGGGCGGGGGGAGGAAGTGCCATCACCTCCCCCAGATATTGAAGGGTAGTCCAATAAAGGATTCCGGGGCGCGTGGCCCTGTCCGAAACCAATGGAGGTGAGGGCCTAAGGCACGCCCCCCAGTGGTGACCCCGGGGGAACTCCTAGTTGATGTGCATCAGCAGGACTCTCCCTACTGGTGGTTAACCCTTCCCGGACTTCAAGCACACAGGCTGAAGCCTGATAGTCGGTTAGGACCAATGCCTAAGCCAATACTGCTCATCACCTGTAACTAATAAAGTTGTGGCCAATTTTAGCCCATTAACCTAAAATAACTGTCTCATGCATCTTTATTCCTACTGGGGGGAGGCAGGAAATCGCCATGTAAACTCATCCTCATTGCCCCCTACTCTACACTAGAAAAAGCATTTTTCAGAACAGCCCACTAAAGAAGATAGCAACACGATAATATTCAAAACCGGAACAATGAATTCCACATTTATTCAAAATCCCATTAAAACTGTTTAGTTTAATTAATTCAACAAAATTAACTAGGTCCAGTGATACCAGCTTTCCTGGGCCTGACAGTCATTTACACCTCCAGCACTGCTCTCTGCCACCCTTAGTGCCCCCTAGTTAATTCCATCAACCCCCCCCCCCAAGGGGTGGTATCCCCCATTTTGGGAACCACTACTGTAGAGCATTGGGAGCAGGGACAATATAGGAACATAAAAAGCTGCCTTATGCAGGGCCATGGCTTTCCAGGGTTCCTGATAGGGTTCTCTCCCAGCCTGGCACCTTCTGCATGCAAAGCAGCTGCCCTACACCACCGAGCTTCAGCCCTTCCCCACAAACATAGAAAGTGGCCATCTACTGTCCCATATAGCTCAGTATTGCCTACACAGACTGAGGGCAGCTCTCTAGGATTTGAGACTTTGGTGTCTCTTCTAGCCCTATCAGGAAGTGCTGGGAACTGAACCTGTGGGCCCTCTGAATGCCAAGAAGATGCCCTAACAACTGAGCTGCACACCACTGCCCAGAATGAGCCCCTTTCACAAGCAAAAACACCCCCTGCATCTACACCAGGCTTCCTCAACCTCGGCTCTCCAGTTGCTTTGAGACTACAATTCCCATCATCCCTGACCACTGGTCCTGCTAGCTAAGGATCATGGGAGTTGTAGGCCAAAAACATCTGATGGGCTGAGGTTGAAGAAGCCTGATCTACACATATTTCCCAGGAGGCTAACAGAAGTCACGTCAGGTAACACCATCCACATCTCCTCCCCCACCCCCCACTCCCAACACAACACTCCCAGAGGCTTGTCTGTCTATCACCAGCATCTCCCCTTGATTCTCACAAAGTGCGCCAAGTACATGATGGCTCAGGTTTGTTCCATTTTTCCACCCCCCCTCTTCCTCTCCTGAGTGCTATTTGCAGAGGTCTCCGTGTAAAATTAAACTGAGGACACTTTAGCATACAATGGCTCATTAACCACTTTGGCTGCCTGCCAGGAAGGGGGTTCGGAATGAGAGAGAGAGAGAGAGAGAGAGAGAGAGAGAGAGAAGAGAAGAGAAGAGAAGAGAAGAGAAGAGAAGAGAAGAGAAGAGAAGAGAGGCAGCCATCAAAAGCCAGTTGTATTAACATCAACAAGTCCAAGAAGCAGCTAATTGTGGGGAGAAGGGGGACGGGAAGAGAAATTTCTAGCTGTCGCCAAAAGTATCTGCATGGGGGGAACTGACACAGGCAAAAAGTAACATAAAATTGTGGACTAATATAAAAAAACAGTTATAGGCTACTTCATATGCCATTCAGCCCCGTTTGTGCTGTTTCTCTCTTGGTTTAAAAGGAGTGCTTTTGTGCATGTGGTTTTCCATTTGTACACACACCTGCACTACGTCATGGGCTTTACATGCACTGCATCATGGGCATCCATTGAATGGGGGTAAAGGGAGGTAGCTTTCCCACCGTGAACGATCCATAATCCCCAGACTTCCAGATTTCATTTTTTAATAAAGAACCTGAGATATGTGACAAAATGTACAGACACTACTTCCTTCTCTCTCTCTCTCTCTCTCTCTCTCTCTCTCTCTCTCTCTCGTGTGTTTTCAGTATTTTACTTTGTGCCCCACCCAGTTAAAAATCCCTGCCAACACCTATAAGCATCACAGCAAGGTGATGGCAGCACCTGCAGTCTCCTAGGCCACTGAAAGATCTCATCATTGCTCCTTCCCCAGAGCTAGGCAGAGATATTACTTGTGCTGGATCAGAGCAAAGGCGAATCTGGTTCAGCATCCCAATCTCACAGTGGCCAACTAGATGACCCAAAGGGAAGCCTGCAGGCATTTTAAAACTAAGGAACAGTTGGTCACCTTTTACAGTTTGAAACGAGTATTAGAGAAATTCCTGGAAGCCATCAGTGACTACTAGCCACAATGGCTATGTTCTCCCCTCCACTGTCACAGGCGGTCTGCCTCTGAACACTGGTGCTGGGAATCACAAATGGGAAGAGTGGCTATTGCATTCATCTCCTACTTGTGGGCTTTCCAGAGGTATCTGGTTGGCCACTGTAGGAACAGGGTGCTGGAGTAGATTGAGATACAGTGGTACCTCAGGTTACAGACGCTTTGGGTTACAAACTCCACTAACCAGGAAGTGGTTGCTCCAGGTTAAGAACTTTGCCCCCGGATAAGAACGGAAATCACACACCAGCAGCACAGCGGCCCCTTGGTCACCTGCTGAATTTTATAGCCGAATGGGGACTTGAACCTGGCACTCCTCAAGTCCAGCTCTCTAACCAGAATGCCACACTGGGAAGGAACATCCAACACATCTGAATCAAAGAGTCAAAATGGCACTGGGCTGAACCGCTGGTTCACAAGCGACACATACATATTAATAAACAGTAGTGAGCGTTTCTGTGGCGTTTTGAATGCTCAAAAGACTTCAAAACTGCCCTATAAGGTAGTCCAACATTAGTACCACCATATTGCAGTCAGGAAGCTGAAGCAAAGAGCTGGCAGTTTGCCTAGAGCAAGGATGGGGAACATGTTGCCCTCCAGATGTTGCTGGACTACTTTTCTCATCATCCCTCACCACTGATCAAGCTGCCTAGAGCTGATAGGAGTTGGAGATGAAAACCTTATGAAGTGCCAGGGGGCCCCCATTCCTTCACCAAAGCCTCCTAGCAATTGCAAATACAAAGGGACTGCTCAATCTATGAGCCTCCATATCTGATTGAGGATGGTAGACAGGGAGAGACAGCATTTTGTTTTGCTAACCCTAGGCTAGAGATGGGGAACTCCAATCATCCTTGCTGGCTGAGGCTGATGGAAGCTGCAGCCCATCAGCAACTGAAGAGCCACAGGTTCTCCATCTCTGCCATAGTTTATGTTCAAGAACTTCCACTTCCAAAGTTAGGACACTTCAGCTAATGTATGGCCAAGGTCTGCTTCTCTGCAACTGCCCCCATTTAATTAAAGTCCTGTCTGCTGGGGCAGCGGAGCACGAGCCTTGCTCCATCTTCTGCTCTTCAGATATTTGGGGACAACTCTCATGTCTCCACTTAATCTGATCTTCTCTAGACCAAACATATTAAGCTTTCCTTTCAGCACTTGGTTTCTCAGGCTCCTCACCATCCTCCTCACGCTACTCTGGTGACCTCCTTAGAATGCAGCATCCAGAACTAAATAACAGTATTCCAGATTTCACCCGACAAGTACAGAATAGAACGGAGCTACTATTTTCACTATGCTTTCATCAATGCAGCACACTTATTTTATTTATTAAATTTCTATGCCCCCTTCATCCAAGGATTATGAGGGGCTTACAGTATAAAAGCACAAAAACACAACATGACATTTGCTTTTTAAGTAGCTGCCTCACTGCTGGTTCAAGTTGTCCATTATCATAAGGACTTCAACGCTGATGGCACAAAAACCAGATGCATCTACATGCGCCCAACTTATAAAACTACTGTCTTTTTGAGCAGTGACACTGTTGGTGGTCAATCCCTGCCCTCAAATATTTCAGTCCACTTACCTTGCGGCGCAGTAGCTGAGCCTGGGGTCCACCACTGCCTTCAATTTCATACCGGACACTGTTGAAGAGGGAGACACCATACTGTTCCTCATAGAACTGGCAAAACTCGGCCAGGACCTTGCCAGTCTTTTCTGGAAGTTAAAGAAACACATACAGATATAACAGCAGAAATACAAAAGATCAACCCTTTTGCGGGTTGTGGGGAGATGATCTGGTTCTTGGCAGGAAGTGGGACAAATAGAAGCATTGGCTATGTAGCCCACAGTGTCCTGAGGATGTTGCTACAACTCCCATCAGTCCCAACGAGCAGAGACAATGGACAAGGATGGAAATTAGAGTCCAGATACATCAAGAGGGCAAAACGTATCCCCAACCCTGCAGAGGATTCTCTTCTGCTGCTTGTTGTCATATCTATATCTCAAATGCTCCAACCTAGCATAGATTTTGAAAAAGGAAAAGGCATGTTACACCTTTCAACATGTCATAGTGAAAAGAGGAACGTGCTTGGGGCACTGCACTTCTTTTATCAGGGATGTCCTACTTCAGGGGTCCTGGGGTTCAAGGGTGGGAGAATCCAGTGGCAGACCTACAGCCTGAACTGGGGCCCCTTTGCAACCAGCAACGAGGTTTGGGTAACCCCTGTTATCTTCTTCAATGGGGTTGTTTGCAACGTCTGTGCTACCGGCTCTCAAACTTTGGGATTGTTGAAATATATACCTCAAAAAAATCAAACAATTTGAGTCGTCCAACTCAAATTTGTCTACTGGACCCAAAACGTTTAAGCAGTGTGGTTCTGGGGCCCCTCCGGGATTAGGGGCCCTGAAGCTGAAGCTTCTTTAGTTTCATAGTAGATCTGCCCCTGGGAGAACCTCCAAGCCTTTCTCTTTGACCTTTTGGATTATCTCCAGGCCACCCCTCCTCTCCCTAGGACATCCCTTCATTAGCCCTGCTTTACACCCAGAGTGTCTTTTGCCTGGCTGGAATGTTGAACCCAGACAATGCCTGTTGCTTATCTGGATGGAGAACAGAGAGGGACGTGTATATGTGTGTGTACAGAAGCTAGCCTGCTGCAGAAAGGAATTCACTTACATTAGTTGCTCCACACACTTTTGCTTCTGGCCCTACCCACCGCTGGCATGTGACCATTGGAAGATTTCCCAGAAAGCAATGTGGCCCTTGAGCTGAAAAGGATTCCCCACCCCAGCTGTAGTCGGATCCTGCATAGAGCAGGGAGATGGACTAGATCAGTGATGGCCAAACTCGGCCCTCCAGCTGTTTTGACTACAATTCCCATCATCCCTGACCACTGCTCCTGTTAGCTAGGGATGATGGGAGTTGTAGTCCAAAAATAGCTAGAGGGCCAAATTTGGCCATCCCTGGACCAGATAGTCTCTGAGAGTATCTTCTAACTCTTTGATTCTCTCCAACAGGGAAATTCTAATACCAATAGCCAATTGGGAACAATAAGAGACAACAGGGCTTTGTTTGTAGAAAAAAAATTATATATACACACACACACAACTTCCCTATGAGATGAGTCAAAACAAGAGACTGCCTCACGCCTCAGTAAACCAAGTTCTTACGTCATGGTGAATAGATGTCCAGCCCTGTGTTGGCCAACTTTTCCTACGGATCATGCAGTGAGTAGTTGAAGGAGGCCTGAACACCTTGTGACTTTGGGCAGGGCAGCAGAGATCAAAAGTATTTATGTATTTTTAAAAAAACACATATTTATTTTAATGGTGGATGAAACTCTTCCTTTTAGTGTTATTGGACCTCGTCCATGAAAGTTAAAAACACCCCATGGCAAAGGCAGGGAGTTAAGAACCTTAGAGCCTAACCCTAACCATAGTCAGCTGGGACTTCACCTGCCCATAATCTGTAGACCCAGGATGGGATGCTTTAGTGACTCTTACCAATAAATCTCTCAGGACTTCCAGGCATGGCAACAAGCACAGTTCCAAAGAGGAGAGCCAGGACAACACCTACCTGTGCTACACCTGACATCATATATGATGCCCGGTGTGAGGCAGGTAAAAAAAAGGGGTGGGGGTAGCTGCTTGGTGCTTACAGGAAGCTGGCGGAGATCCCTTTGCATTGCTGGGTTGAACTGAAACCAGCAATGCAAAGCATCGTCTGGTATTTAGGGGCAGCTAAATAATCATTATTATTTGCTTTAAGTCACTGTGAACTTAACTACAGGTGGAAGGCCCTGCCCACCAGCTAAAATTCCCCTGGGGGGGGCGGGTCAGAATCTATCCTGCTTGGTTGGATTATGTTCTCCAACTGCATGCTTGCAAATGCTCAGTATTAATACAGGTTTTAACCTAACGTGAACCCCAAATATAGAATAATTCAGGAGAAATAACTATTCCTCACTAGGGGCAACAAGCAGATAGCAAACATTTTGTGCATATTGCTTTGCAAAGTACAAGAGGGCCAATGGCTACTGCAAGAGAGTAGCAATATTCCAACATCCCACAAGTCAGACATAGGAACATAGGCATAGATCAGGTCAGGTTATTGGTCCATCTAGCTCAGTGTTGTCTATACTGGTTTCAGGCAAGAGGAGATTCCCAGCCCTACCTGGAGATCCTATTGGGGATTGAACCTGGAATCTTCTGCATGAAAAGCAGGTGCTCTACCACCCTCTCCCCCAATCCCAAATCATGCAGCACAAATTCAGTGTGTGTGTGCCCATTCATCTCCCACTACAGATGCAGCTGGTGGTAAAGGTAAAGATAAAGGGACCCCTGACTGCTAGGTCCAGTCGCGGATGACTCTGGGGTTGCAGCACTCATCTGGCTTTATTGGCCAAGGGAGCTGGCATACAAACTGCTAGGTTGGCAGGAGCAAGGACCGAGCAGCGGGAGCTCACCCTGTTGCAGGGATTTGAACCACCAACCTTCTGATCAGCAAGCCCTAGGCTCTGTGGTTTAGACCACAGCGCCACCCGCATCCCTGCAGCTGGTGGTACTATAATACAAATGAAGCATTCTCCCATTCTAAAAATGGCAGAATTTTAACAATAATGAATCAGAGCTGCCATCAGGAACAAGAGGAGTGTCCAGACAGGCTGTCTATTTGCACATTTGGTTGTTATTCCAGACTTTCTAGTGTGATCATCCCATTGTTTTTCTAACCACAACAAAAATCCTGATAAGCAAATTGCACTGGGAAACATGGGTATAACCAGCTTGTTTGTATAACTTGTATGTGACTACTTCGTAAAAAGCAGGGCCCAAAAAATCTATAGGAATGTTGTGGTTCAAAGCTGGAACCTACTGCTGCATCTGTGGGTACCCAAGAGCACTTTGGGCTTCAGGCTGCAAAACAGGAAGCCAACACCAGAAACACATGCACTGTGACCCCTGTAATTACAGTCATACCTTGGAAGTCGAACGGAATCCATTCTGGAAGTCCGTTCGACTTCCAAAATATTCAGAAACCAAAGCGCGGCTTCCAATAGGCTTCAGGAAGCTCCTGCAGCCAATCAGAAGCCCTGGAGGATGTTCAAGTTCCAAAAATAGTTCGCAAACCAGAACAGTCATTTCCGGGTTTGCGGCGTTCAGGAGCCAAAAAGCCCGAGAACTAAGCTGTTTGAAAACCAATGTACGACTGTATCTGTTGTTTTGCATTACAGATGACAAATAACCACGGTCTTCTCAAAAGTTTACAGTGGCCAGACAGGTAGCTCATGGGACACTCACAGAAAGCAGTACTTGAGTGCACCAGTGCTTTCCCCTCCTGCAGTTTCCAGCAACTGGTATTGAGAAGAATTACTGGCCCCGTGACAGAGTGAGCTCCCGTTGCTCAGTCCCTGCTCCTGCCAACCTAGCAGTTTGAAAGCAAGTAAAAGTGCAAGTAGATAAATAGGTACCGCTCCGGTGGGAAGGTAAATGGCCTTTCCATGCACTGCTCTGGTTCACCAGAAGGGGCTTAGCCATGCTGGCCACATGACCCAGAAGCTGTCTGTGGACAAATGCCAGCTCCCTCGGCCTATAGAGCAAGATGAGCGTTGCAACCACAGAGTTGTCCGCAATTGGACCTAACGGTCAGGGGTACCTTTACCTTTACAGTGGAAGGAGACTTCATAGGCTTCATAGCTAACCAATGAATTTGTCTAAAGGTAAAGGTAAAGGTACCCCTGCCCATACGAGCCAGTCTTGACAGACTCTGGGGTTGTGCGCCCATCTCACTCAAGAGGCCGGGGGCCAGTGCTGTCCGGAGACACTTCCGGGTCACGTGGCCAGCGTGACAAAGCTGCATCTGGCGAGCCAGCGCAGCACACGGAACGCCGTTTACCTTCCCGCTAGTAAGCGGTCCCTATTTATCTACTTGCACCCGGGGGTGCTTTCGAACTGCTAGGTTGGCAGGCGCTGGGACCGAGCAGCTGGAGCGCACCCCGCTGCGGGGATTCGAACTGCCGACCTTTTGATCGGCAAGCCCTAGGCGCTGTGGCTTTTACCCACAGCGCCACCCGCGTCCCACCCACAGTGCCACCCGCGTCCCACATGAATTTGTCTAGTGCTCTTTTAAAGCCAGCCAAGTTATATAACAACAACAACTTATTATTTATACCCCGCCCATCTGGCTGGGTTTCCCAGCCACTCTGGAAGGCTTCCAACAAAATATTAAAAATACATTAAAACCTCAGTCATTAAAAAATTTCCTAAACAGGGCTGCCTTCAGATGTCTTCTAAATGTCAGATAGTTGTTAATTTCCTTGACATCTGGTGGGAGGGCGTTCCACAGGGCGGGTGCCACTACCGAGAAGGTCCTCTACCTGGTTCCCTGTAACTTCACTTCTCACAGTGAGGAAACTGCCAGAAGGCCCTTGGTGTGGGACCTCAGTGTCCGGGCAGAATGATGGGGGTGGAGATGCTCCTTCAGGTATACTGGGCCGAGGTTGTTTGATGCCCATCCCCACATTTCATGAGAGCGTGTTCCACAGTTCTACCACATGCCATATGAAATTATTTCTTTTGTCTGTTCAGCTCCACCAGACAGCCCTGAGTTCTGGTTCCCACTCATGAGAGGGAAAAAGACTCCACCTTCTCCACCCCATGTATTAGTTTATGCGCCTCTTATCATGTCCCCACCCTTTAGTCATCTTTTCTCTAAGCTAAAA